GCTGGGGGGGAGGCCGGCCCCTGTACGCCCGAGGCAGGGGGTCCGAGCCTGGTGGCATTTCCCAGGGCCAGCTGAGGGCTGTCACCAGGATTTCTGTCAGTCTGAGGTGACGCGACAGGACACCATGGGGGCTACTCCATCTGAGGAGAAGCAGCCTGTTGGCGTGGAGGTGTGGGACACTCTATGGCAAGGCTGGAGCGGCTGTGGGGTTCAATCCGTCAGTGCCAATCCAACCCCTCCAGGAGTCTTTCGAGCGCTGGGCTCTGCTGTGGCCACTGGCTGAACACGCCCTGGTTGTTTATTTGTGCATCCCCCTGCCTGGTCCAGTGGCCTGGGGAGCCAGAGCCAGGGATCAGGAGCGCAGCAACCCTGGGTTTCCCTTGCAGAAAGATGGGAGGTAAGAAAGTGGTGCCCGCTCCTGGTGAGACTTCCTGGGCAACAGCAGGTTTCCAAGCCGGTGCCCTCCTGTGGGGATGGGCTTTTTCTCCCTGCAGAGGGCATGCTACTTTCATGGTGGTGGTGGGGACAGATGCTGCTCAAAGTGATGGTCCGGTGCGTGCTGGTGGTGGGGCCAAGCGATGGCTGTGTTTTTTTTTTTTTTTAAAAAAAAAATCAAAGCCAAGGCATATCCCAGCTTCCTGGGCAGGTGACACCATGCGGTGTCCTGCGGTGTCACTGGTGGTTGTGTGTGCCCATCTCCGTGCTGCCTTCTCCAGGCTGCTGGAAGGAGCGTGGTGGGGGGGGACCGGCAGGATTTTGGTGGGCTTCTCAGTGCTGCAGAGTTGGTTGGGCTTTTTGTTGGGAGTCCAGTCCTCTGGTTGGGGACCACAGCAGTTGATGGCCCTGGGATCACAAGATCACGTCCAGGGGAGTCAGCTAAGACTTGGAAGGGAGGATATTTGGGAACAAAAAGGGTGAGACTGGTGTATTTGAGGATGTTAAATGCCAAATATTGTCATAAAGAGAAAAAAAGGACAACTGAGATCTTGCTGCAATCGAACTTGTGGGAAGTTCTCTCGCCGGGGGAAATATTTTATGTAGTTGTTGATTTAGGAAAGGTCAGTCATTTTTTTCCCCCCTGATTTATTCTCTTCTAATTGTTTTCTAGGAAGAAGGCGGTTATTTTAATGTAGCACTTTACGTTAAGATGCTGAAACAATACATGGCTGAGACTGAATACATGGCTGCTGTGTTTCTGAAGGCCTTCCAGAGGTGTAGCCCTAGAACTCTGCCTCTTTGGAGTGCAAGATATTTGGAAGAGCCTTTAAAGTTAGCTGTAACCTCACTCTTTGGCAGGAGGCATGGGAAGGTGTCGATGCACTGCTGCAGTCCCTGCTGCCCTGTTAGGGGTGGGAGGACCGCAGCTCTGCGAGCTGATGGTTTTTATGGTTTTCCATCCATGCTGCTGTCCTGTTGCCTGTCTGCTCCGGGCAGCCGCAGCGGTCCCAGCCAGGGCAGCGGCATGTTGGCACTGGCATCAGCATGCAAAGCGTGGTCGGGCATGCCGACCTCCGGGGTGGGTTGCCTGGAGAAGGGAAAACTCCCCCCAAACCAGGGACCTGCTGGAGGCCGTTGGGCTCTGTGCAATGCCACAGCCTCTGGTCAGGGGGACAGCAGGAGCCCCCAGGAGGGTGCTAGGAACTGCACCCCGCTTTACCTGCTTGCGGCTGGGCACAGTCAGTTGCTGGGACCTTGGGGCTGCAGTGAAGGGACAGTGCTGAGCCCGGTGTTCCCCAGGGAGCAGGAAGCTCTGCTCAAGAGCTACTTCAGGTCCAGTGGCTCTGTGCAACATTGCTCTGGCTCATGGGGCGGCTCTGCCCCAGAGCTGCCCAGGCTTGGTTTGTTCAGTGTGCTGGTGTTGGTGGGCACCCATGCATAGTCCCCGCGGGGGAGAGTTGTCAGGGTGGGCTGGCAGGGCTGAGTGGGAGTGTTGCACCGCAGGCAGCCGGGACAGGGGTGCAGGGAGGAAGGGGCCCCCCCAGGCAGGCTGTGCCAGGCAGGAAGCAGCCAGCATTGGGGTTTCTGTGGGTGGCCAGGCAACCTCTGCCAGGAGTAGCTCTGCCTCTCTGGAGCCCCACGGGAAGGAGGTGCGGGGCTGGAGGCGAGAGCTGTGGTAGCTGGGGTGTGCAGGAGCTGCTTGCTGGGTCAGGGGGGGCTTCTGCTGGCTTGGCTGCAGGCTGCTACCCCCCAGCCGGTGCTTTGCGTGTGCAGTAGACCCAGGCTGACAGTGCTGTGCCTCTCTCTCCTCCCAGATCTGCAACTGGTTCATCAATGCCAGGAGGCGGCTGCTCCCCGACATGCTGCGCAAGGATGGAAAGGACCCCAACCAGTTCACCATCTCCCGACGAGGAGGCAAAGCTGGTGACGTGGCTCTGCCGCGGGGGGCTGCTGCC